GTATTAGAGTATTCTCAATTTGCCTATCTATTCACCTTTAGCTTTGTGTTTTATATTTCAATATGTTTTCATGTTACTAATTAACATCCTTTTCTTTCAGCTTGAAGAACTTCTTTCAGCATTTCTTGTAAGGCAGGTCTAGTGGTGATGAATTCCCTCAGCTTTTGCTTATTTGGGAAAATTTTCCTCTCTATTTCTGAAGGTCAACTTTGCCAGGTAAAGTATTTTTGCTTGGTGGTTGTTTTCCTTCAGTAATCTGAATAAATCATCTCACTCTCTCCTGGCCAGCAAGGTTTCTGCTGAGAAATAATCTGACGGTATTATGAGGGTTCCCCTGTATATGAGGAATTTTCTCTTGCCTCTTTTAAAATTCTCCCTTTGTCTTTAAGACAGTATTATTATAATGTCTCTTAGAGAAGATCTTGTTGGGTTGAAATTGGGGACCTATGAGCTTCGTGAACTTGGATGTTCAAATCTATCCCCAGACATGGGAAGTTCTCAGCTTTTATTTCTTTAAATAAGCTCTCTGCCATTTTCTTTCTTCTCATTTTGGGACTCCAGTAATGCAAACATTGTTTTTCTCAATGATATCCCACAATTCATGGAGCCTTTCTTCATTCTTTATCTTTTTTTTCATTCTCTTCTGACTGGATAATTTCAAATGACGTATCTTCTACTTTACAGATTCTTTCTTCTGTTTGATCCAAGTCTGTTGTTGATGCCCTCTATTGCATTTTTCATTTCATTCATTGTATTCTTCATCTCCAGAATTTCTGTTTGGTGATTTTTTATGACATTTATCTCTCTGTTAATCTTCTCATTTTGTTAATGTATTATTTTCCTAATTTCATTGAATGATCTTTCTCTGTTTTTGTAGCTCAATGAGCTTCCTTATACCAACTATTTGGAATTCTTTATTGGAAATATCACACATCTCCATTTCTTTAGGATTGGTTACTAGAAAATTATTATGTTCCTTTTGTGGTACCATTTTTCTTTGATTTTTTTTATGCTAAGTCTTGAATTGCAGTTTTCACATTCGATGAAGGAGTCACCTCCTCCAGTCTTTACTGACTGACTTTGGGAGAGGAATACCTTATGTGAGCCCTGTTAGGGTTTCTGAGGCTTTCTCATACCTTTTCTATGGATACTCTTGATCCACATTTCTTGTCTCTTCTTGGGGGAAAATTCTTAAGATTATATGCATTCTCTCAATCCTGCAAAGCCAGAACAGCTGCTGACAGCTTCCCATTTGTTTTCCCTAGGGTGGTGCTGAATGCTCAAGTTTCTGTGCTTCCTCCCATTCCCAAAGTCAGGCTGGCTTTCTGCATGTGATCACTAGCCATCTGCAAATGTTCACTCTTGCTACCCTTGGGAGCATGCACAATGAGTTGGCCATGGGGTGAAGAAGAGTGTGTGCTGAGGTACACAGCCCATTGAGGGTGCCCATGGGTCAGTTGGGGGTATCCTTAGGCAAGGCATCTCCAGCAGGTCATGGGTAGGCTTTCTCATGGAGTGGTTAGTGGGATCTGCATCCTTTTGATGCCCTCCAAGAGCCCTGGTTGCTATTCTCCCAGCTGCTCCCCACCCCACAGTTGTGTAGCACACCTCGATATTCTGGATGGGGTAAGAAGCGGGTTTCTTTGGCAGCATCCTACACAGCTGGGGAAGATGAAAACTTACTCATATTCTCTCACCTTCCCCTGTGAGAGATGTTACAGCCTAAGAAGGGCTCTCTTGGCACTAAGCTGTGCCTCTTTGGAGGAGGGGTGATGCAGGTAAAGTAAAACTGTTCCTCTTACCCTCTACAATGCATCCAAGCTCAGATTTTTTTTCTCCAATGGTGTACTAGAACTTCTCTGCTGAAGTCTCGGACTTCAACAAAGTCACTTTCATCTATGAGTGATTGTCAAAATGGATATTGTTTGGGGGAAGATCATAAAAAAACTCTTATTGTGCCATTTTGATTAAAAGTCACTTTCAATATAGTGTCATACATGCTATTATTGAAGAATTCAAATGGTGCTATATTACCATAATGGGCAGGGTACCTATGTCCACCAGGGTAATTCTTGAAGAGCTTCACAGAGGAATTAATTTTTGAACTGAGCTTTTAGTAATCAGAAGTTCTCCTAGTAAAGAAGGAAAAGAAGGGCATTCCAAGCAGAAGACAAAAACATGTACAAAGGCAACAGAAGCAATATAAATTAAGTCAAGTTAAGCCAACTTCTAATATTTCAGTAAAACTGGACAGTAGAGTCTAAGGATGGGAAGGGTAGAGGGGAATGGAGAGGTAGAGATATTATAGGTAATATGGCAGCAGTTCTCAAACTTTCTGGTCTCAGAAGCCCCTGATACTCTTAAAAAAAATTGAAGACACCAAAAACCTTCTGTTTATATGGACTATACTGATATTCATGATATTAAAATTATATCAAATTTTACAAACACTAGAATACATAAGCACATTTTCTTTTGGTCAGCAGAATGATGATGTCATTGCATATCGCATACCTTCTGGAAAACTTCACTGTATACTTTTGAGAGAATGAAAATGGAAAGGACATTTCCCATAGCAGGGAAAAGATGACATTTCAAGGAGATAGGGGTTAATGGTAACAGCTCTATTCCATAAATATTGGTCAAGTATCTATGTCAGGTGTGTAGAAACACTTTCAATCTTGTGCCTTCATCTACAATCTCTTTGAAGATAATCTCTATATTTTTATCTCTGCAAAAAACTATTTCCCAAGCTTCAACCCATTCCAGCCCTGTTAGACATCTCCCTGTGGATATCCTTCCTATAACCTGAGTATTGGCACATAATAGTCAATTAAAATTCATGCAGAAAATATTCATTGAGCACTTATTATATGTCAGGCACTATATCAGAGGTTGAGAAGCCATCTGTGAATCACACAGACAAAACTATGTGATCTCAGGTAGCTGGCATTCTAGTGAGGGTGACAGACAATAAAAATTAAGTAACTAAAATACAGAATACATTTGAGGTGATAACTGCCATGAATAAAAGTAGAATAATTTCTAATTGAGGAACTACAACCAACAGTCATATTAGCATGTAAAATAAACTTGTTCTTTGCCTTTCTTTGTAGAACTCATTCATTTTCGCTCCTGTGACAGCAAAAGTATACCTAGGAGGATCTATAGCATTCAAAGTCTGTAGTTAGTTTAGCTGGTTATAGAACAGTGCAAATGACTCCATGTTTAAGAGTTCACATCTTATTTGGGCATATTATTCTTCAATTTCTTACATGACCAAAACCCACATTTTAATTCCAGCATCTATATCACAATCGGATTCCTTTGATTAAAAGGAATATTAGGTAAAAGAGTATAAAACTATATTGACATGGCCTATCCTCAAACCTAGAGGAATAATTCCGAGCACATGCCTTATTGAAAACAGATTAAGAATGGCACTTACATTCAGTAACTAGAGAAGAAAAATACAAATGATGTACACATAAATGTAGTTCATAGAAGACAGCACATATTCTGTATTTATACCAATCCAAAGGGTAAAAAAAAAGATCATGTTTAGATTCTTCACATAATGGCAGGCCACATTTGTTCCAAGGAGATGATCTGAACTCAGAAGTTTAGGAATGAGCACAGAAACAGGGTTATCAGCACGGGCATATTTCTTTAACCAGTTATTTGAACATTTAGTGCAATATCACAATTATGAAATATAGCATCAAGAGCATCTGCTGAAACGCTTGGTAGTAGTCTCTAAGCAGTTTTCTTTTTTTTAACAGATACTTTTAAAAACAAAATAAATGAAGGACTTTGGAGAAAAGTATACATGTGTAACTCTGAAAAATAAGGCCTTCTATAAACAATACATTTAATTTAAAAATACGTGCCACATTCATGAATCAAGGTACTTGGTCTATTTGAGCAAGTTTGAATCAATTGAGAAAGAATAAACTACTTCTTAAAATTGCATTATATTATGTGTGACTTTAAATATACAAATAATTAGCCATTGGGCTCGATAGTTTGCTTATGGCCATTCTTCTAAATCCAAGCTGATGTAAAAACCATATAACACCAAGAATAACATGTAGCAAACTGTGCTTAGCATTTTAGACATCATTCCATTTAATTCTTACAACCTTTCAAAGTCAGCATGATGATAGTAGATTAGCATAGAAAGTTTATCATATATTTAAAAAAGAAAACTGAAGCTCCCAAAGATTCATTCACTTACAAAACATTTGAGCACATGCTATAAGTTTTGTGTTAGTAAGTCTATTATAGTTGACATCTGCTTATTTTTGCCTCATATGGACCCATTCTTCTTTTAACAATACCACTTTTTGGTCCTATGGAGGACCACTATTCCCCAATCTCTATCCATACATTTCTGGTAGACTGACACCACTCCACCCTCAGCTGTAGGCAAGGGCATGTGACCAAGGCTTGCTTCATTGGCATATTCCACCCCTCTAGTATCAGAGATTGGTTCAGGGATGGGCATTTGGCACAATTAGACTCAATTCCAGGACATTTTATGGAACTTTTGGCATTGAAAACTCTCTTCAACTGGAACTGCTAATTCTGAGGTTATAAGCCTAGAGAGTTAGAACCAGAAACCCCATGGAAAATGTTCAGCGGTAGAATGAAGTCATCCAAAAAAGGCACAGTCACTAGATCAGGGTGGGAGACTGGAAGAGTGGAGGGAGGACTAGAGAGGCGATCTGGATTTCCTCACTTTAACTTCTGGATCAGACTATACCTGAAGCTAATACTATCATTGAATTTCTCACATATATAAGACAATAAATTGTCTTTTTTTCTTAAACCATTTTTGAAGTTGGCTTCTTTCACAGAAGGTAAATAAATCCTAATTAATTATACTTGCTTCAGATATAAAGATATCAAATAATAGTGACTACATGTGAACTAAAATAATAGGTTTTAAAATCTGTGTTTTTTCCTATTTTGCAATAGTGACTCCTCAACATACTTACCAGTATGTATCTCTATTTAATTATTAGTGAGCTCCAAAAACAACTCTGTGTTTAGCACTTGCGACTCATCCTTTCATTTGTTCAGCATGAGTATTACCTGTTAAGGGAACAGCTAATATTAGATACTTTGGAAGGCATAACAAAACAGTACTATAGTTGGCCTGATTATATGTGTTCCTGACCCTTAAGGAGTTTGTAGACTTAATGAAGATAAAATGTGTGGAAATCTAAAATAATCCAAAGCAACATAGGTAAAATATGGAACAGGCTAAGAACAAAAGGGATAAAAGATACAGAATAGTGGATTGGTACAAATATTGAACAGGGACCTCTTTGTGAACAGAATCAGATTTTAAAAAGGGCAGCTAGATAATACCCTGAAACTCAAACCCAAGACTGCACTATATATGGAGGCTCACTGACATCTTACATTGAATGTGAAATAAATAGCGCACTGTGGGACTCATTCAAGTGATGATACTTTCTGTAAAGTCTTCTCTGAAATCAATGTGCTTCTGTTATTGGTCTGCCGTAAGCCCCACTTGTCAGCCATTTTCTTAAAAATATAACTATTACCATCAATTCTGAAGAATAAGTTGTAATTGTGCCCTAGCTCTTATTAGCCTCTTTTTATAGCCCATTATACATCCTCAACTTTTCTTTCTTTATTAAAAGAAATAATTTCCATTACTTGTGAGTTTATAAAGCAATAAACCCCTCTTGATTACTCAGCACTTTTACAGAAACCATTTCCTGGTAATTGCATGGTAAGTAAGTAAAACTATCCCATTATACTAAATTTAACTTAAAAGTCATTTCTCTGTGTTTTCTCAAAATTTCAATTATCATACAAGTTTGGTCTGGAATAGTTAGGTGATTTTCATCTCTATATATTAGTTCATTAGTCCTAAAACTAAGCTGACTAGAAAGAAAAGCTATAGACGGATTCAAGATGAAACAGTGCTATACCTTTGTGAATGACGTAAGTGAACTGATTTTAATAATCCTTAAAACACAGTGGACTTTTGAACTTGTTTCCTCTGCCTAAAACATTCTTTCCCCAGTTTGTCACATGCCCTGCTTCCCAAATTCATTCAGGTCTGTGCTCAGATGTCACTTCTTCATACGAACCTTCTTTGACTGGCTTACCTAAAATAGCTAGGTTATTCATCACTCTTTATCTTCTAACTTGCTTTATTTTTCTTCCTAGCTCTTATCACTAAGAGATCTTATATTACTTATTTATTTAATTTTCAGGAGGAGCAGAAACTTTATCTTTCCCAACACCTAGAAAATTCCATAGCAAATAGAAAGTACTCAATAACTATATGTTGAATAAATACATAAATTCAGGAACCTAGTTTATTCAACTTTATAGCTGCTTCTAACCTTTTAGTCTATTCACTGATTATGAGCATCCCAATTTGAGACTAAGTAAAGGAACAAAAAGAAAACAATAATAAAACTGAAACAGGGATTTTAAAAACACAAAAACAGAGGACCAATGAAGATTTTCAAAAATCTCATTTCATTAGAAATCATATGAAGGACAAATTTTAGAATAAATTACAATCATTCACCAGTCAAATGACTCAATTCTTTTTTTGTGTGTTATTAAAACTCCCAGTGTTCTTAAATATATGAGAAAATGGACAATCTTAGACACTAGTGGGGAGCGTATAACAGTGCAATCTTTCATGAGGGAAATTTGGCAATAGGTAACAAATCCTTACCTTTATTTAAGCATACAGTCCAATATATAAACCCTATTTTACAGAGGTTCTAGTAAGGAAATTATTTTTGATATGTTCAAAGATCAAGCTAAATGGATGTTCCTCGCAGTATTGTTTATAATAGTGAAAAATTAGAAACTAAATATCAAAAAGTGAGGACTGGTTAAAAACATCTACAGTGCATTAGTGCAAAAATATTTTATACAATCATTAAAAATAATATTGCTGAACAATATTAAATGTCATGGAAAGTATTCACAATATATTAAGTGAAAAATAAGTTATTAAAAAATTTTACAGTATGATTTAATTTTCAAGTATTATTTAAAAATGTGTAATATGACTCCATAATATATAATATATTCATATAATGTAATATAATTCTAAATATGACCTAAAAGCCACAAACTATAATGGAAATGATTGACAGATTTCACAATATAAAGATTATAAAACTTCTTAAAAGTAAATAGCAAAGATAAAACAAAATAAACAAGATTAAAATACACGTACAATACTGAAAATAATTTGTAACATAAAAAAATGTGTAATATGAGTATGTCCAGTTACATAATTTTTTTAAAAAGAACTAGAAGATGCACCCCTAGGGCTCACAGTCAACCACACTGTGGGCCTGCCCCACCCATCAGTCCACACATGGCAGTCACATGCTGCTGGGCCTTGTGGGAGTCATGCAGGGGCCTGCCTCACCTACCAGCACAGCCACAGCAGTCACAGACCCACCACAACATAAAGGCACATGGAACCTACACAGGGGACACTTGTGGAGCAGCTGGCTTTGGTGGCCAGAGAAGAGCATGCTGCTGGGCCCCATTAGACATCTCCTACATAAGGCCACTTTTCCAAGATCAGGAGACATAGTTGATCTACCTAATACACAAAAATAAACAGAAAATTTAGGCAAAATGAGGAGATAGAGGAATATGTTCCAAATCAAAGAACAAGTAAATCCTCAGGAAAAGAACTAAGTGAAACAGATAAGCAACCCACCTGACAAAGAGTACAAAGTAATGGTCATGAGGATGCTCACTGAACTCAGTAGAAGAATGAACATAGGGAGAAATTCAACAAAGAGTTATGAAATATAAAAGAGAACCAGTCAGAGCTGAAGAATATAATAACTGAAATGAAAAATTCACTAGAGGATATTAACAGCAGAGTTGATACAGAAGAATGGATCAGAGATCTGGACAACAGAGGAGAAGAAATCACTCAAGTGGAACAGAAAAAAGAATTTGAAAAATGAGGACAGTTTAAGGGACCCCTGGGACATCAAATAAATCCAACATTCACATTATAGGGGTCCCAGAAGGAGAAGAAAGAGAGAAAGGAGTAGAAAACATATTTAAAGAAAGAATAGCTGAAAACTTCCCTAACCTGGTAAAAGAAATAGACAATCAAGACCAGGAAGCACAGGGTGTCCCAAACAAGATGAACCCAAACAGGTCAACATCAAGACAGATCATAATTAAAATGTCAAAAATTAAAAATAGCTGCTCCTCTTGGGCTGGGAAACCCAGCCCCGTGCTAGTCTGTGGGGCTGCAGGTCGCCCCCGCCTCCAAGACCTGCGGGGAGGGCCTGCGCGAGCTCAGGATGCAAAGCCTAAAGACGTCCACACAGAGAGTTATGAGGTCCTGGATCATCAAAGAAAGGTTACATTTCGTGGAGGGCGGGACCAAGATGGCAGAGTGAGAGGTCTTCTTTGTCTCTCCCCCGTCGAATCTACAACTAATTGGACATTCACCGATTAACAAAGGATATCCAGATAGCATCTCAAGACGCCTAAATGCCTCGTGCTACTACACATCGGAAGGCGGACGGACTTCCCCCCAGGAGTAGGTGGAAATAGGTGAAAACTCTCCGACCCCCGACCCCCGGACAGCCTAGTTCCTGCAGGAGGCTCTCTTCCAGCGGACTCCCCCATGGCATCGCCACCCACCAAGGGCAGGAGTGTGCACTCACCAGTGGAGCGACAGTGGAAACAGGTGACAACACCCCTACCCAAGCCCCCTGCGATCACACCTGAGCCCAGGGGGAAATCCCCAGGGTCCCACACCCACCGGCAGGGAAGGCCTCCACTTGCCATTAGCAGGGAGGCCCCACCCAGAAGCCAGAATAAAGAGAAGCTCCTGGCAGGCCCGGCACAGCACCAGAACACAAGGTGCCACTGAGCTCACGGTCTCTGGCACACGGCTCGTTGAAGGGGGCACTCAGACTTCCCGTAGACGTGCTTGGGGACGTGGTTGGAGCTCCAGCGCCTGGCTCTGCAGCGCGGGGGAAGGTTCCAGGGCCCCGCATCTCCCCGGCAGGGAAAGCCTCTGCTCGCCATTAGCAGGGAGGCCACGCCCAGAATCCAGGACAAAGGGAAGCTCCCAGTGGGTAGATGCCCCCGGGGCGGCTCCAGACCACAAGCTGCCACTGGGCTCACGGTCTCTGGTGCATGGCTTGGTGTAGGGGGTGCCCAGATTTCATATAGATGTACTTGGGGAGATGGTTGGAGCTCCAGCGCCTGGCTCTGTGGCACGGGGGAAGGCTCCGGGGTCCCGCATCTCCCCGGCAGGGAAAGCCTCTGCTCGCCATTAGCAGGGAGGCCACGCCCAGAATCCAGGACAAAGGGAAGCTCCCAGTGGGAGGATCACCTGGGGTGGCTCCAGGCCACAAGCTGGCGCTGGGCTCACAGTCTCCTGCACACGGGTTGGTGCAGGGGGTGACCGGACTTCCCATGGATGCGCTTGGGGACTGGGTGGAGCTCCAACACCTGGCTCTGCGGCCCAGGGGGTCGCTCCAGGGTCCCACACCCCCCCAGCAGGTAGGGCCTCTGCTCGCCATTGGCAGGGAGGTCCCGCCCAGCATTCGGAACACCAGGAAGCTCCCTAGAGCAGAATTCCCCACAAGGCAGCAGCTTACAAGCCACTGCCAGGCCCACGGACTCTGGCCATGTCCCAGGCGAGGCAAGGGGCTCCCAGAGATCCCATGAGAGTGAAGTGGGGCAGAGTAGAGCTCCGGTGAAACGGCTACGTAGCCCAGGGGGGATCTCCAGGTTCTTACAGCAGCCTCAGCGAAAGCCTCTGCACAGCACTAGTGGAGAGGTCCAGACTGGCAATCGCAAAGCGGGAAGGCCCTGGGGCAAAAGCAGCACAGGTGAGCTAACGACAGACTACAGAAGATACCCATAGGTCTGCTGGGACCTATAGTGGACAAGTGTGATCTGGTGGGCTCTGTTAGGGACAAATCAGAGATTATAGGTGATCCTGCTCCTGGCTGATGGGAAAGCCCACAACACTGCTGCAGACCACAAGGAGGAAGCGCGTCTAGGTGGGCTGCAGCAGTAGGCACCAGCAGCCTGAGGCCCCCTTGCGATTGCCCCCACAACTGACGAGGGACACCACAGGACCACTGCGACTACGAGGAGGAGTCCAGGCCCAGTCAGTAACAGCTGACAGGGTTCCTGGTTGGGGCAGTCTAAACAGCTGCCCCCCCACACACACACCAGGTGCAACAAGTGGAAGCAGCGACTAAACTCTATCTCTATGAGGAGGCACAAATCCACACCATGAAGCAGTATGAAAAAATATATTACATCTCCAGAACAAAAGGAAAATGATAAGCACCCAGAAAACAATCCCAAAGCCAATGAAATCTATAACCTAAATGACAAGGATTTCAAAACTACCATTATGAAAAAACTCAACGACCTAAAATAGAATTCAGATAGACAACTCAATGAGTTCAGGAGCTATGTCACAAAAGAGCTTGACACTATAAAGAAGAACCAATTAGAAATACTGGAGATGAAGAACAGAATGGAGGAGATTAAGAAAAATCTGGACTCTCTGAACTGTAGGGTCAATAATATGGAGGACAGAATTAGCAATTTGGAGGATAGGAATATACAAATGCTGCAGGCAGAGGAGGAGAGAGAATTAAGACTAAAAAGAAATGAAGAAACTCTCTGAGAATTATCTGACTCAATTAGGAGATGCAACATAAGGATTACAGGTATACCAGAGGGAGAAGAGAAGGAGAAGGGGGCAGAAGGCCTGTTCAAAGAAATAATAGCTGAGAACTTTCCAAACTTTGGAAGAGAGATGGAACTTCACGTCACAGAAGCCAATAGATCTCCAAACTTTATTAACGCAAGAAGACCAACCCCAAGACATATAGTAGTGAAACTAGCAAAAGCCAACGACAAAGAGAAAATACTAAGGGCAGCCAGGCAGAAGAAAATAAATTACAAAGGAAACCCCATAAGGCTATCAGCAGATTTCTCAGGAGAGACCTTACAGGCTAGAAGAGATTGGAATGAAATATTCAAAACTCTGAGGGACAAAAACCTGCAGCCAAGAATACTCTACCCAGCAAAAATATCCTTCAAATATGATGGAGAAATAAAAACTTTCCCAGATAAACAAAAGATAAGGGAGTTCATCACCACAAAACCTCCTCTTCAAGAATTGCTCAGGAAGAAACACATTCATGAAAAATCAAAAAAAGGAAAGGGGTTACAAAATCCAGAACAAAGGAGATAAGCAGAAGGACAATAACACAAAGTAACAGTTCTCCATCAGGACAAAATGCAAAAGAACCAGAAAACAAGTGATAAAAGTGCAACAGCAGGCCCCCACATTTCAATAATCACACTAAACGTGAATGGATTGAACTCTCCAATCAAAAGGCACAGAGTGGCAGGATGGATCAAAGAACAAGATCCAACAATATGCTGCCTCCAGAAAACACACCTCAGCCCCAAAGACAAACACAGACTCAGAGTGAAGGGATGGAAGACAGTACTCCAAGCCCATAATGAACAAAAGAAAGCAGGTGTTGCCATACTTATATCAGACAAAGTAGACTTCAATGCAAAACAGATAAAGAAAGACAAAGAGGGGCAGTATATAATGATAAAAGGGACGCTCCACCAAGATGACATAACACTTATAAATATATACGCACCTAACACAGGAGCACTAAAATTCGTAAAGAAACTATTAATGAAACTAAAAGGAGACATCAACAGCAATACAATAATAGTAGGGGACCTCAACACCCCATTAACACCAATGGACAGATCATCCAGACAGAAAATCAACAAGGAAATTATAGAATTAACTGAAAAATTAGGTCAGATGGACCTAATAGATATATATAGGACACTTCATCCAAAAACAGCAG